ATGTAAGGAATTTTGTTATCTCCTCATAGTTTCCCTTTCGGAATGTCAGCCTTTTGTTTTCAGTTCCCCTCCTCGAGTTCCTTAACCCTTCTTCAACCAGATACTCAAACGTCAGTACACTGTGGTCGCTCATTCCTACCGGGGCCTTTAAACCGATATCCCTTATGTCGGAGTCGTTTAGAGTGATGACTAGGTCAAGTCTCGCTTGTTCATCATTTCCTCTCATTCTTGTGTATTCCCTAACATGCTGGCTTTAGAAGTTTCTTGTCACTACCTCCTATAGTTTAGCTCTCCATGTATCCTCACCTCCATGCTTTTCCTTGTTCTCCCAGTCTATCGCTCCATGATTGAAGTCCCCTATGATGAGCAGATAGGATCTATTTCTACAAGCAGCAGAGGCTGCCCTCTCAATTTTTGTGTTAATTGTCATGTTGTTGTTGTTGTCATACACTTGCCTGAGTCTTCTAACATTGGGTGGAGGGTTATATATTACTGCTGCTACTATACATGGTCCTCCCATTGTCATGATGCCTGTTATGTAGTGTCTATATCCCTAGCAGCCCGTAATAGCCATCTCCTTGAAACTCCCTTTCTTTATAACTAGTAGGGCCACTCTGCCTCCTCCCCAACCTTCCCTCTCTTTCCTTAAAAGTGTGTAGTCCTGAGGAAACATTGCATTCGTTATGATTTCTGAGAGTTTTGTTTCTGTGAGTCCGATTATATCTGGGTTCACTTCTTGGGCTCTTTCCCTTAGTTCACTTGCCTTGCTTGTAATCCCATCTTTGTTCGAATACATCACCCTGAAACTGAGTCTCTTCTGTCCTTCCTCAGTTTCTGTTGACTCCCCTGAAGCAGGGAAACGGGGAGGGTTCGGTATGGGAGGGCCTAAGGAGGGGGATCTTTGGAATCTGGGGTGAGAGTGGGGTCTGGGAAGATCTGATACGGGGAGGATGGTGGAGGAGAGAGGGCATTGGGGGGAGGGTGACAGGGGGAGGCTATGGGGTGTTGGTGAGAGGATTGTTGAAACTGTGTATGGAGTCAGCCTTCCTCACATCACTTCCTAATGCATTCCATTTGTCAACCACACTGATACTAAAAAAGTTCTTTCTAATATCTCTGTGGCTCATATGGGCACTCAGTTTCCACCAGTGTTCCCTAGTGCGTGTGCCGCTTGTATTAATAAGCCTGTCTTAATGTACCCTATCAATTCCTTTGACAATCTTGAATGTGGTGATCATGTCCCCTCTAATTCTTCTGTCTTCCACAGACGTGAGGTTTAATTCCCGTAGTCTCTCTTCGTAGCTCATACCTCTCAGCTTAGGAACTTGTCTGGTGGCAAACCTTGGAACCTTTATCAGTTTAGTCTTATCCTTCACTTGATATGGATTCCATTCTGGGGCTGCATACTCCAGGATTGGCCTGACATATGTGGTAGTCAAAGTTCTGAATGATTTCTTACATATGTTTCTAAATGCCGTTCTTATGTTGGCCAACCTGGCATATGCTGCTGATGTTATCCTCTTGATATGGGCTGCAGGGGACAGGTCTGGCGGGATATCAACCCCCCAAGTCTTTTTCTCTCTCTGATTCTTGAAGAATTTCATTTCCAAAATGATACCTTGTATCTGGCCTCCTGCTCCCTACACCTATCTTCATTACAATTCATTTGGTTGGGTTAAACTCTAACAACCATTTGTTCGACCATTCCCTCAGTTTGTCTAGATCTTCTTGAAGCCTCAAGCAGTCCTTCTCTGTCTTAATCCTTCTAATAATTTTGGCATCGTCAGCAAACATTGAGAGAAATGAGACAATAACCTCCGGAAGATCATTTATGTATATCAGAACCAGGATAGGACTGAGTACATTTGTTCATTTGTTCACATTGACTTTTCCCTGTTCCCTTGTTACCTCTCGTTGCCATGTTTGTCCCTGTTCCTACTATGTCGTGATAGGTTGCCAGAAGGGGGCAGGAAGAGAGAGAGAGAGAGAGAGAGAGAGAGAGAGAGAGAGAGAGAGAGTATGTGTGTGTGTGTGTGTGTGTGTGTGTGTGTGTGTGTGTGTGTGTGTGTGTGTGTGTGTGAGAGTGTGTGTGTGTTTGTGTGTGTTCGGCTGAGCGAGTGTTTATGTGTGTTTGTCTCTCTGTCTGTTTGAAAGTGTGTGTGTGAATGTGTCTGTGAGTGTCCGAGTATTTGTGTATGCGTGTGTGGTGTAAGGGGGGCACGACCTCTGAAAAAAGTGAAATCTGGCAGTTATTGCCAGTATTGTGTTTGAGTGAGAGTTAGAGACCCAGCAATAACAAGGTTTCCAGTCGAGTTTGCTCTCACAACACAGAGTGTAGAGAGAGGTGGGATAGTGGTGGGGGAAGGGGGATGGGAGAGAGAGGAAAGGAGATGGGCAGGGTAGTGATATGGAAGGGGTTGGTAGGTTAGAGGTAGGGTTAGAGGGAGGTTACAGGTAGAGAAGGTAGGCGGGGGATTGGGGGGCGGAGACGAAGAGGAAGTGGCAGTTAGGAAGAAAGTACTTGTTAGGGAGCCGGTCGGCCGAGCGGACAGCCCACTGTACTTGTGATCCTGTGGTCCTGGGTTCGATCCCAGGCGCCGGCGAGAAACATTGGTCAGAGTTTCTTTCACCCTATGCCCCTGTTACCTAGCAGTAAAATAAGTACCTGGGTGTTAGTCAGCTGTCACGGGCTGCTTCCTGGGGGTGGAGGCCTGGTCGAGGACCGGGCCGCGGGGACACTAAAAAAAGCCCCGAAATCATCTCAAGATAACCTCAAGATAGGTGCCAGATAGATGCTGCTGGACTACACTTTACCTCCTCTCTAAGCCATACACCTTTGGCTTCCTGAATAAATATGGAAAGGCACTCAACAATTTATAGATAGTGACTCGTTACTCTGGCTGGCCCGATTGAGTGCTGGAAATTTTTTAGTGCGACTTTTTTCCTGAGAACTTTGTTTAAGATTCCGGGTTAAGTCTCATTGATCCCTAGTGATGGGAGGGTGGATGCTGCTTGTCTTGCACGTCTCCACCCTATTTAGTAATGTCATCCCTGTTCAGCTGAAAATGATGTTCTTCAAACTATCATATATCCTGACCCATAACATCCAAAAGCGTAATGTTGGAACATTACATATACAAGGTAACATGTACTTACAAATAAACGGACTGGCAATTGGTTTCCCCTTAGGAGTGTTATTTGCTAATTTTTAAATGGGAACTATCAAAGACAGAGTCTTTAGTAATAGGCAAAAACCAGTGGTATACTACCATTGAGTTGATGACATATTCGTCTCAGTAAAAGAAACAGATGAACTAATTTATCTTAAAATCCATCTAGAGAAAGAGTCAGTACTCCGTTTTACCCATGAAAATAGTGAAAATATCAGTCTGCTATTCCTGGATGTACTGAATAACAAAAACTGGAGCCTCTCTAAATACCAGCGAATATGCTAAGCCTACAAACATAGAATTATATCTTAACGGTAGGAGTGAGTGCCCCCTTAGACACAAAGCCAGTGTTCTCAACGCTTATATTCGTCGAGCTCTTACCTACTACTCTGAATGGAGCTGAGTGAGTAGGGAGCCTGAAAGAATAACCCAGGCGTTGAAGAACAATGGATATAGCAACACAGAAATAAACACTACAATAAGAAAACACCTGAAGGTTTTCAATTTCTACAATTTCTTTCTTTATTATGCATCCCATACCAATCCCGTAGGAGGTGGTGTAAAGGAATACAGAGGCACGTAGTCGCTTTAGGAACTGAACCCTATAGTTCGTTTAGCTAAGCAAATAACAACCTTTTGACGCTAGTCAAACGTCTTATATATATATATATATATATATATATATATATATATATATATATATATATATATATATATATATATATATATATATATATATATATATATATAGTACCTAGTAGCCAGAACGTCGTACTCGGCCTGCTATGCAAGGCCCGATTTGCCTAATAAGTCAAGTTTTCATGAATTAATGTTTTTTCGAATACCTAACCTAACCTAACTTTTTCGGCTACCTAACCTAACCTAACCTATAAAGATAGGTTAGGTTAGGTTATGTAGGGTTGGTTAGGTTCGGTCATATATCTACGTTAATTTTAACTCCAATAAAAAATAATTGACCTCATACATAATGAAATGGGTAGCTTTATCATTTCATAAGAAAAAAATTAGAGAAAATATATTAATTCAGAAAAACTTGGCTTATTAGGCAAATCGGGCCTTGCATAGTAGGCTGAGAAGTGCGTTCTGGCTACTAGGTACGACATATATATATATATATATATATATATATATATATATATATATATATATATATATATATATATATATATATATATATATATACAATTATCAGATCATTTGGGAACGCATTGGACGAGGTAGTGTTGGACAGTGGGGAGGACGAGGGAACGGGCGAGGGGGGGGGGGGGGGAAATGTTGGGGAGGACGAGGGGACGAGGGAGGGGGCAATGGTAGGAAGATGGGGGAAAGGGAATGGTAGAGAGGATGGGGGAACTGTGTAGGGATGTTGTGGCTCATCAACGCGAATGCGTTGATGAGCCACACCATGTTTTGTGTGATTTTTTCCGAGGCTATGGGTCTTCCAACCAGAGATAGATACCTTTTAAGTATGGACTTGTAAATTATATTGTTTCAGCTATAGGTTTGAAACGCCTATCGCATCACAGCCTGGGTTGTAACCGAGAAGGATTACATTATAAAGTACCTTTAAGGCTTAGTGTATATATGTTAAAACCTGGGAAATAAAAAATGCGGTAATAATCTAGTTTTCGTCTCATATATTCCTTGAAAAATCTATATTACAAATAAATTATCTAAGTTTAAAACAACTTGGCATTCATCATAATTTAGAGAAAAAAATTAGTTGGTAAAAGTCTCGATAAATTGTAGTGACAGAGGAGAGGCCGTTACCCCTGGCACATTCCACATTGCTCCAGCTGGGGTCCGACAATGGCATCAGTGACCAGCGCCATCATTCAACCCTTCCTCCCGCCGCAGGCACCAGCAGCAGCACTGAATACCTGCTCATTATCCCGTCGAGACACCCCAGACGTCAGCACTTGGAGTCGCTGTATGAAAAGCCCTAAATTGTTGTTCCAGAGACGTTGCACGGTCGCTCGGGCGCCCATGAAGGGCTAAGAAGAATTTACGGGATTGGGCGAATCGGAGAATGGATCGTAGATCATGTTTACAATGTGATCTGATTGAGATTTTGTATTATCTTGAGGTATACAACGTACCAGAGAGTTGTTACAGAGGGGGAAAAATAACTAACTTTGATATATATATGTGAATCTTAAAAATATATATATATGTATATATCAGTTTCCTTTGTCGATGTGGCATGGTAAAAGATTTGTAAATTAAATTAGTCGTGGATGCCCATCTCACTATATAAGAAAATGTGATAATTAAGTCGAAGCAAATAAATACTTTGGTTTTGTGTTCCGCCCAATATCGCTGTGAGAGAAAATAGTGAAGGTTGGTCTTGTCCTTATAGAGAGGTGGGTGTGTCGCCCTTATGCTTCCCACTCACATCTCACGCGTTTCATTTTCTGTGTCCTCTCCAGCGCTGACTTGTAAAACATGAATAGCAAATGTTGCAGGATTGCATATAGTTTTGGAATAGTGATACAGTGTATGTGTATTGACGACATGTGTGAGTTTGTAAATACGTGTGTGTGTGTGTGTGTGTGTGTGTGTGTGTGTGTGTGTGTGTGTGTGTGTGTGTGTGTGTGTGTGTGTGTGTGTGTATGTGTGTGTGTACTCACCTAGTTGTACTCACCTAGTTGTGTTTGCGGAGGTTGAGCTCTGGCTCTTTGTTCCCGCCTTTCAAGCGTCAATCAACAGGTGTACAGATTCCTGAGCCCATTGGGCTCTATCATATCTACACTTAAAACTGTGTATGGAGTCAGCCTCCACCACACCACTTCCTAATGCATTCCATTTGTTAACCACTCTGACACTAAAAAAGTTCTTTCTAATATCTCTGTGGCTCATTTGGGCACTCAGTTTCCACCTGTGTCCCCTTGTGCGTGTGCCCCTTGTGTTAAATGGCCTGTCTTTATCTATCCTATCAATTCCCTTCAGAATCTTGAATGTGGTGATCATGTCCCCCCTAACTCTTCTGTCTTCCAGCGAGACAGTGTGTGTGTGTGTTCGTTTGTGAGTACATGTGTGTGTGTTTGTGAATGCATTTGTTATATATATATATATATATATATATATATATATATATATATATATATATATATATATATATATATATATATATATATATATATAGATATGTATATATATGTCGTACCTAGTAGCCAGAACGCCCTTTTCGGTCTACTATGCAAGGCCCGATTTGCCTAATAAGCGGCAAATTTTCAAATGTTGCTACTCAAACCTGAATCTAAATCATTTATATATATTATAAACAACAGAGGTCCCCGGACAGAGCCCTGAGGTACTCCACTTACAACATTTTCCCACTCTGACTTGACTCCATTTATACTAACTCTCTGTTTCCTTTGGTATAGCCATACCCTAATCCAGGTTAATATAGCACCCCTAATACCATGAGCCTCTATCTTTTTAATCAGTCTTTCATGTGGCACTGTATCAAAAGCTGTGCTGAAGTCAAGATACACAACATCACAATCCTTACCACTATCAAATGCCTCAACTATGCTAGAATAAAAAGATAACAAATTTGTTAAACATGAACGGCCATTTATAAAACCATGTTGCGACTCAATTATTAATTTATGTTTTTCAAGATGAAGACGAATTTTATTTGCTATTATAGATTCGAGTAACTTTCCCACAATAGACGTTAGGCTAATTGGTCGATAGTTAGACGTAAGTAATCTATCTCCTTTCTTAAAAACTGGTATCACATTAGCAACTTTCCAAAACTCTGGCACTTTGCCTGACTCTATTGATTTATTAAATATGGTAGACAGTGGGTCACAAAGCTCCTCTTTGCATTCATTAAGCACCCTGGCAAACACTTCATCCGGCCCTGGGGATTTGTTTGGTTTGAGTTTTACTATTTGTTTAAGAACATCCTCCCTGGTAACTGCTAAACTCGTCAACCTGTCCTCATCCCCACCCACATAGACTTGTTCGACTGAAAGCATATTGTTAAGTTCCTCTTTAGTAAATACAGATACAAAATATTTATTAAAAATACTACTCATCTCTTCATCACTATCTGTTATTTGACCTGTCTCAGTTTTTAAAGGACCTATCCTTTCCCTAGTCTTAGTACGATATAACTGAAAAAAACCTTTAGGATTTGTCTTTGCTTGCCCTGCTATGCGAACTTCATAGTTTCTTTTTGCTTTCCTTATCTCTTTTTTAACATTTCTAACCAGTTGTACGAATTCCTGTTTTAAAGTGTCCTCCCCATTTTTAATCCTTTTGTACCAAGCTCTCTTTTTACCTATAAGGTTCTTCAAATTCTTTGTTATCCACTTTGGGTCATTAGTATTCGATCTATTCAATTTGTATGGTATACTACGTTCCTGTGCTTTGTTTAGAATATTCTTAAATAAGTTATTTATTGAATCCACATCGAAATCCCCATTTACGTCACCTATCGCTGGGTTCATGTCTCGCTCCAAGACCGGCCCACACCCCATACCCAAGACTTTCCAATCAATTTGACCCCAAAAATTTCTTAGGCTATTAAAATCAGCTTTTCGAAAATCTGGCACTTTAACAGAATTTTCTCCTACAGGTCTATTCCATTCTATGCTAAATCTGATTTCTTTGTGATCACTGTTCCCTAGCTCACTCCCTATTTCGATGTCATTAATTTGTGTTTCCCTGTTAGTTAACACTAAATCTAAAATATTATTTTCCCGTGTTGGTTCCTTAATGTGTTGCGTAAGAAAGCATCGTCAATTAATTCTAGAAAATATTCTGCTTCACTATTCCCTGCTTTGTTCAACCAGTTTATTCCACTAAAATTAAAGTCACCCATGACGTAAATACTGTTAGATCTAGATGCTCTAGATATTTCATCCCATAGATGCTTTGCTTCCATTCTGTGTAAATTTGGTGGCCTATATATAACTCCTATTATAATATTATTTGCTTTTTCGTATAATTCTATCCAAATAGTTTCTGAGTGTGGCTCAGTTTTGATTCCCTCTTTGAGACTACATTTCAAATTGTCCCTAACATATATGGCTACTCCCCCTCCTCGTCTAATATATCTATCTGTGTGAAATAGTTTAAATCCATTTATTTGATATTCAGCTAATAGTTCTCTGTTTTCAACATTCATCCACGTTTCGGTAAGTGCAATAATATATATTTTTTCTGTGCAGACAAGAGCATTTAATTCGTTAATTTTATTTCTTAGACTTCTACTGTTAGTGTAATATACCCTAAGTGAATTGTTATATTGAGGCCCTTCTCTTTCCCTGATCATTTTGCCAATTCCTTTCTCCCACAAACACATACTTTTATTACCTCCTTCCTCCAAATCAATTCCCATACCTCTATCTACTAATAGTTTAAGCCCAAACAAACACCTCTAACCACTGGTTCCAACGAGTTCGCAACAGCAACAACCCCAGCCCTCGCTAGATGCACCACATCTAATTTCTTCCATAGAAGTGTTCCCAGTTGTCTATGAAAGATATTGCATTTGATTTGCAATATCTTTCCAGCCCCGCAATTGACACCAATTGCCCTCGACATCCATTCGGTTCCCACTCCCTTTCTTGGAAGAATGCCACATATGATCGGGATTCCTCCCTTGCTCCTAACTAATTCAATGGCTGTCCTGAATCTCTGTATTAGTTCCTCACTCCTAACTCGTCCAACATCATTATCCCCTGCACTAATACAAATAATGGGTTTGTTCCCCTTTCCTGTCATAATATCATTCATGTTTCCAACAATATCACCAATTCCAGCTCCCGGATAGCAAACCCTTAATCTGTTCCCCTTATCTCTGGCACAAAACGTTCTGTCTAAATACCTCACCTGGGAATCTCCCACAACCAAAATTCGCTTCGATTCTCCCTTTTCCTTTCGAGCAGTTTGAGGGACCTGCGCTTCAATGCTCCTCGTTGCTTTGTCTTTGCCTCCTCGTTGAACAACAGGTTCACCACAGCACTCGTCCTCTAATACGTCAAATGCGTTAAAAGTCCTTAGGTGTAGGCTATTAGTTGACGGTTTTGCCAAGGTCTTCTTAAGACCCCTGTCTTTCACAACTTGCCAAGACGAGGTCTTCTTAATACTGGTCTCCTCCTTTGTTTCTTCCTGCTGTTGTATCAGCTGTCGTACCTCCTCCCGTAGCGAATACAACTCTGTTCTCAGAGCTCCAACCAGACTCACCAGCTCCTTCACTAATCCTTCCATTATTGCTACAACAATGTTAGTACAATCGGAGCTCCAGCCAACACACCCTCTCACTGTGACTGCACCTGACTGACCATTGTTGCGACAATAGTTCTTATTGTCGTATTGGTTATGTTAGTGGCTCTTATTGTTGTCATTGTTGTGTTAGTGGCTCTTATTGATGTCATTGTTGTGTTAGTGGCTCTTATTGATGTCATTGTTGTGTTAGTGGCTCTTATTGTTGTGTTAGTGGCACTTATTGTTGTCATTGTTGTGTTAGTGACTCTTATTGATGTCATTGTTGTGTTAGTGGCTCTTATTGTTGTGTTAGTGGCTCTTATTGTTGTCATTGTTGTGTTAGTGGCTCTTATTGATGTGTTAGTGGCTCTTATTGTTGTCATTGTTGTGTTAGTGACTCTTATTGATGTCATTGTTGTGTTAGTGGCTCTTATTGTTGTCATTGTTGTGTTAGTGGCTCTTATTGTTGTCATTGTTGTGTTAGTGGCTCTTATTGATGTCATTGTTGTGTTAGTGGTTCTTATTGATGTCATTGTTGTGTTAGTGGCTCTTATTGATGTCATTGTTGTGTTAGTGGCTCTTATTGTTGTGTTAGTGGCTCTTATTGTTGTCATTGTTGTGTTAGTGGCTCTTATTGTTGTGTTAGTGGCTCTTATTGTTGTGTTAGTGGCTCTTATTGTTGTGTTAGTGGCTCTTATTGTTGTGTTAGTGACTCTTATTGTTGTGTTAGTGGCTCTTATTGTTGTGTTAGTGGCTCTTATTGATGTGTTAGTGGCTCTTATTGTTGTGTTAGTGGCTCTTATTGTTGTGTTAGTGGCTCTTATTGTTGTGTTAGTGGCTCTTATTGTTGTGTTAGTGGCTCTTATTGATGTCATTGTTGTGTTAGTGGCTCTTATTGATGTCATTGTTGTGTTAGTGGCTCTTATTGATGTCAATGTTGTGTTAGTGGCTCTTATTGTTGTCATTGTTGTGTTAGTGGCTCTTATTGTTGTCATTGTTGTGTTAGTGGCTCTTATTGATGTCATTGTTGTGTTAGTGGCTCTTATTGATGTCATTGTTGTGTTAGTGGCTCTTATTGTTGTGTTAGTGGCACTTATTGTTGTCATTGTTGTGTTAGTGACTCTTATTGATGTCATTGTTGTGTTAGTGGCTCTTATTGTTGTGTTAGTGGCTCTTATTGTTGTCATTGTTGTGTTAGTGGCTCTTATTGATGTCATTGTTGTGTTAGTGGCTCTTATTGATGTCATTGTTGTGTTAGTGGCTCTTATTGTTGTGTTAGTGGCTCTTATTGTTGTCATTGTTGTGTTAGTGACTCTTATTGATGTCATTGTTGTGTTAGTGGCTCTTATTGTTGTGTTAGTGGCTCTTATTGTTGTCATTGTTGTGTTAGTGGCTCTTATTGATGTCATTGTTGTGTTAGTGGCTCTTATTGATGTCATTGTTGTGTTAGTGGCTCTTATTGATGTCATTGTTGTGTTAGTGGCTCTTATTGATGTCATTGTTGTGTTAGTGGCTCTTATTGATGTCATTGTTGTGTTAGTGGCTCTTATTGTTGTCATTGTTGTGTTAGTGACTCTTATTGATGTCATTGTTGTGTTAGTGGCTCTTATTGTTGTGTTAGTGGCTCTTATTGTTGTCATTGTTGTGTTAGTGGCTCTTATTGTTGTCATTGTTGTGTTAGTGGCTCTTATTGATGTCATTGTTGTGTTAGTGGCTCTTATTGATGTCATTGTTGTGTTAGTAGTTCTTGTTGTCATTGTTGTGGTAGTAGTTTTTGTTCTTGTCATTGTTGTGTTGTCGTTTTCATCATTGATGAGTTAGAGGCTGCTGCAGTTATCATTGTTTTGTTTTTATTATTGTCACCTTTGTTGTCTTTATTGTTATTGTCACCTTTTTCGTCGTTGGTGTTATTGTCACCTTTTCTGTAGTTGTTATTGTCACCTTTTTTGTCTTTGGTGTTATTGTCACTGTTGTCTGTGCTTTTTCTTTTTTACTGGATTTGATTTTCTTTCACTCCGTAGTTGTTATCACACAGGTTGTCGAAGTGGCTGTTGTTGTTGTTGCCTTCTTGACGAAGTTGTAGTTGTTGACAGAAATTGTAGTTCATTTACTTTTTTGAGGTTTTATTGGTTGTGACCTTTAGATGCTTTTTGCTGTGGTGTTTAGCAGCTGTTTTGTAAAAATTACGTGAATAATGTAGAAGTTGTTGCAGATGTTATCGTAGTGAATGTTGTTTAGTTGAATTCTTTGTGATTGTTGTTGTCGTGGCTGCATTGAATATGATTGCTGTAGATGTAGTTGTCTTCAAAGACAACTACATCTACAGCAATCAGTTGTCGCAAACAGACAACTACATTGCTGTTTGCGACAATCTGTATGTTGTCGTAGTTATGTTTGATGCGTTTATTATTGTCGTAGTTTTATTCGCTGTAATTGTCGTTGACATATTTGTATTCGTAATAATTGGTGTTGGTTTTATAGAATTAATTCTGATTAGTGTTGTTGCAGTTGTATTCATTGTTATTATTGTTGTGACTGTTGTGGTCGTAGTTGTATGCGTTGTGACTGTTGTGGTCGTAGTTGTATGTGTTGTGACTGTTGTGGTCGTAGTTGTATGCGTTGTGACTGTTGTGGTCGTAGTTGTATGCGTTGTGACTGTTGTGGTCGTAGTTGTATGCGTTGTGACTGTTGTGGTCGTAGTTGTATGCGTTGTGACTGTTGTGGTCGTAGATGTATGCGTTGTGACTGTTGTGGTCGTAGTTGTATGCGTTGTGACTGTTGTGGTCGTAGTTGTATGCGTTGTGACTGTTGTGGTTGTAGCTGTATGCGTTGTGACTGTTGTAGTCGTAGTTGTATGCGTTGTGACTGTTGTGGTTGTAGCTGTATGCGTTGTGACTGTTGTGGTCGTAGTTGTATGTGTTGTGACTGTTGTGGTCGTAGTTGTATGCGTTGTGACTGTTGTGGTCGTAGTTGTATGCGTTGTGACTGTTGTGGTTGTAGCTGTATGCGTTGTGACTGTTGTAGTCGTAGTTGTATGCGTTGTGACTGTTGTGGTCGTAGTTGTATGCGTTGTGACTGTTATGGTCGTAGATGTATGCGTTGTGACTGTTATATTCGTAGTTGTATGCGTTGTGACTGTTGTGGTCGTAGATGTATGCGTTGTGACTGTTATGGTCGTAGTTGTATGCGTTGTGACTGTTGTGGTCGTAGATGTATGCGTTGTGACTGTTATGGTCGTAGATGTATGCGTTGTGACTGTTGTGGTCGTAGATGTATGCGTTGTGACTGTTGTGGTCGTAGATGTATGCGTTGTGACTGTTGTGGTCGTAGATGTATGCGTTGTGACTGTTGTGGTCGTAGTTGTATGCGTTGTGACTGTTGTGGTCGTAGTTGTATGCGTTGTGACTGTTATGGTCGTAGATGTATGCGTTGTGACTGTTGTGGTCGTAGATGTATGCGTTGTGACTGTTGTGGTCGTAGATGTATGCGTTGTGACTGTTGTGGTCGTAGATGTATGCGTTGTGACTGTTATGGTCGTAGATGTATGCGTTGTGACTGTTGATGTAGATGCATTCGTAGTAACGAATAACAATTAATTGTATATATTTTACATAATTAGATGCAAATAAAATTATTTCCTTCTTGTTTTCTTAGATAATTATTCCTTTTATTTATAACTGTAATAGCAGTTTTCACTTTATTTAAAAAATAAAACCCTAGATCGACTTCGAGAATAAGGTTAATGACGCCCACGTAGCTATATTAGACTTCATTTTCCTGGTGAACCGCCGATGGTGACCTCTGACCTGGCCCGTGTCTCCCACTACCCAGGCTGGCTTTATTGTTGGTATTTCCCACTTGTACAGACATCTTCGAGGAAGACATGTCTTTCTTAGCTCCCTGTGGAGAAGATGTGGAGAGTGAATGTGATCATTGTTCGCGAAAGGATATACAGTACTGTGTGCTGAGGTCGCTTCTAAATCATTAGTTCCTACTATGTGGCTGCTATCGTGGAGGAGGATACTGCTTGACAGTATTTATGAGGGTGTCCAACTGCTGGACACCTTTTTTGACCAGAAGAGTGGCAGTGTTGAAGATTTCAGGGTAGTTACTGCATGATTTAGGAACTCTTAAAGGTCTTCTAAGGTCGTTGGTTGCTTAACATTCCAAGAGATGGGGAAGTAGTGGCTTTTCTGTGATTGTTTGGAAGAAGATGCATTCCCAATCTCTGGGTTCACCAATTTCCCAGTTGCATCTGTAACCTAGACGTAGTCTATATAACCGAACTGCTATTTGCCTGTGGATTCCATTCAGGATATTTAACCTGTCTACCTTGGTGGCCTGAAGATACCATATTACAGAGGACGAACCTTCTGATACTCTATGTTGTGGATAAGCTTTGTTGAGGTGTGCGAGTTATATGTAAGAATGCCTGTTCTATGGAAAGCAGCTCAGTTTGGGTTGATGATACTGGTCCTTCCAGTCTCCAATAGGCCTGTTCGCTGTCCGTGCAAAGAGCAGCACCAGCACTCTCATATTCTGTGTCCACCCATCCGTCCGTAAAGATGTTGGTAGCTCCTGCTAATGAAAAGGCATTTGCATTTATATAATGCACCTTAGGATTGTTGGATCATAGGCAGCCTTTTTCATTGGAATACTTTCTATTACTATTAAGAAGGTAGGCTCCGTCCACGGTGGGGAACAAGTGTAGTTTGGGTGAGGCCTCTCACCCACCTCCTCTATCCAGAATCATGCTTTTTAATTGTAGTCGTATTAGGACTTCAGGACTGGACTTTAACCTTTGTTTATAAGTATAGGCTGAAGCTTGCCCATCCTCACATATAAAGATCCAAACTCGTTAATCCAGCCGCCAGACCCCATGTTTATGAATGAAAATTGGTTTACACACAACTGACAACTGATGACGTCCGAATACTTCTGGAACAGGTGCTTTGCTCACTTCCTCTGTTTGAATCACAATTCTATAAATGCTTCACCCACGTACATTATATAGAAATAATCGCGAAACAGAATCTAAGCAAATAACCTAACCTAACCTAACCTATGCCTAACTAAACATAAATATACATAGAATTTTTATGTAATATATAAGTTAATATAATAATATTAACTTATCTAAGAGAACAAACCAATTTTTTATATACAATATATTAAAACTTAAGAAAGCGTCTAGTGGGAGGGGAGGGTACGGTTGCCACTTTAACGAGCCTGGCCTGAGGACGAGTTGCAATACATTGCATTTGACCGATTCCCACTTTACAGGCTATTTATGCCCGTGCCACCTCTTGGGAGGTTTAATCTTCATCAAACAATAGATTCCGCTCTTATCCCTCACATGCAATATCACATACAACGGCAAACACTCTTTATCGAAACCAAATAAAATATATATAATCCTAAACCCAGCGTGGAATCAAACCAGCGTCATCTTGAACACAAGTAATTTTCTCCAAATTTCCCATGCAGGAGCTCCTCGCATTTGATGCTATATATAATATTTGAGATTCCCTCGGTGCCTTAGGGCTCGGGCGTGGGACAGTGAGAAGACAGATTACACGATCGGAATATGCAGGCAAGGGACAATAAAAAAATTAAGAAAATAAAGAATGAGTGACAAGATAGGAAGAGAAATGTACGAGCATGGGAAAGAGACAGGATAGAACGAGTGGATGAAGGAAAGCGAGAATGTGTTAAAAGGGATGAAAATAGCGGAGGAGTAGGAGAGAAGAGAGCGTATGGGGAGAGACACACACACAAAGACTTAGAGAAAGAGAGGGAGGGAAAGGTTAGAAGGGCCAGGGCAGAGGGGTGGAGCCTCGGGTGATCAGCTGATAACTGGACAAGCGTGAAATTAGCGAAACCACGAGAGTGACCGCGAACATCAGGGAATTTGTGATGTATTTTGTGGCTATATGTGGACCTGTTTGCTTCCTGCTCCATGTTTGGCTCTCCTTGACCAGATGGTATAATACAATATCTATATCTTTATTATATATATATATATATATATATATATATATATATATATATATATATATATATATATATATATATATATATATATACATATATATATATATATATATATATATATATATATATATATATATATATATAAAGATAGGTTAGGTTAGGTAGGGTTGGTTAGGTTCGGTCATATATCTACGTTAATTTTAACTCCAATAAAAAAATTGACCTCATACATAATGAAATGGGTAGCTTTATAATTTCATAAGAAAAAAATAGAGAAAATATATTAATTTAGGAAAACTTGGCTTATTAGGCAAATCGGGCCTTGCAAAGCAGGCCGAGTACAACGTTCTGGCTACTAGGTACAATATATATATATATATATATATATATATATATATATATATATATATATATATATATATATATATATATATATATATATATATATATAAAATATAGGTGTTCCTTTGCATCCGTCATTTTCTTCTTTCGTCACAAAACAAATAATAAGAATATCAGTGTGTCTTCACACTGATCTCAGTGACAGTGACAGTGAATATCAGTGACATCTTCAAGAGAAAACTAGATTGTTTTCTTCAAGGAGTGCCGGACCATCCGGGCTGTGGTGGGTATGTGGGCCTGCGGGCCGCTCCAAGCAGCAGCCTGGTGGACCAAACTCTCACAAGTCAAGCCTGACCTCGGGCCGGGCATGGGGAGTAAAAGAACTCCCAGAACCCCATCAAGCAGGTATCAAGCAGGTATCAAGCAGTAAGAGTCATAAAGAGGATTCGAACCTTTGCTCTGGGTACTCCCAAGCAACCGCCTTAGACCACTACACCATGACATGGTCAAAAGCAATGTAATCTGGGATTCAACTGAATCCTCTAGGGTTACTGAGGTTTTCCCCTGAAGACTAACCAGGGTTTCATACCTTGCTCCTAAAGGAGTATAGGTGTGAACCCCTCCCCCCCTCATGTACTCTGGCTTGTAGTCTAGGAATTCTACCTCTAATGTTTCTCTTCGAAGGCACAAGGAAATCACATTAACGAGAGGTATCAATTGCATTTTGACCAGGTCATGGTGTACAGTTGTCTAAGGATATTACTTGGGAGTACCTAGAGCACAGGTTCGAATCCTCCTCTTGGATCCAACTGATTTGTTCATTGATAGACCACATTAATGCGTTTTTGTTTGTGCACAGAAAATAATATAATAAAAAACACTATTGTATTACATATATTAGCACCATAATTATATCTAGACAAGCCGAGCCTGATGTTAACATCACTTGGCTCTCTGGGCAGCCAAATGCAATTGCTGGAACCCTTCTCAACAGTGCCACGTGTGCCTTCATGCAACATGTCACTGCAACCTTAAAATTAACATATGTTATCAATCCGATGATGTCATATGACATCATCGGATTGAAAGATTTCGAAGTACTCTACAGTCTTCCATGTTCTTCGGGTCTTGTGGTTAAATACATTATAAATACCTGCTTTTTCCACAGGTAATGCAGCATCTCGTGCAAGCAGGTGTGCCTCGGGTATAGGGTTGACATGTGAAGACAGTCGTCCATAAGAAACCTTCATCACCCCTAACAGGTGAGACACACTTACAGCAGAAGAAAATTTGTAGTTAGATAACAAGACATAGCAGCAGGCAGAATGAGTATTATTAATACAACTATGTAATATGAAAACTAGCCCTACCGAAAAATTCTGCTGGCAGCCACATTTGCAAACCTTGCAGGTGTTAGGCACTGCAGGGCAATTGTAGAGCAATTGTAAAGCAGCGGGGTATCTGGGGGCCGACGGGATGGGAAAAAAGCATGGGAGGACACAACCCAGAAGGTTACAAGTGCTCGTCTGACAGTGTGTTGTTGTTTTAGATTTAGCTACACAGAATGAAATGTCCCACTAGCACGGGCTATAGTGAGCCAGTAAGATAGACGTGGGGAGATATTATATATGTAGTTAGGAGACAGGGCGTCTAGAGGCATGGTTTAGCAAGTATGAATTAAATCACGCAATCATTCAATAACTGACGTGTGGTAGCAATATTATACTTCAAAATGTTGACGACAGAGAAACACTTCATACTTACCATCGTAAACAACGCAACACTTAAGTTACAGAACATTAACACACTCTAGCTTATACCACCCAAGAACACTAAAATTTATTACAATTTTTATTACAATTATTATTTTGCTAAAATAATGATATATAAAGTTCACTGCAATACAACCACACTAGAGGAATGAGGGAGCTGAAAAGTTCTGCATAGAAACTAAGTGCAAAATTCTTAATGAAACTGACGAAGTAGAGAGATAAACATGAATAAAAGTGACAGCAGACCGAGAGGACGAAAACAAATGGATCACATAAACGTCAGTAAGAAGTTCTAGTTTAAGAATAGTAAACAATGGAATGAATTAGATGAAGAACTTGTCAAAGACAATTTAATTTACAATGTTAAATTAACACCTGCGAGAACAAACGGGAGAACAGCGTAAGTGCCCTAAACTACTTACGTCCGACTCTGACGCTCCACTTTTTAAGAACATTATGGTGAGTAAGCGCAAAATTCTGCTGCTCCTTCCTCCTCCATCTCTCTATCACTCCCATCATCCCATCCTCTCCCAGCGGGGAAGCATCATCACTCAAATCTGTCAACGCCTCTAAATTGGAGTCAGAAATTGGTTCTGAGGTGATGAATGATAGCATGTAAGTACATGCATCTGCTCTCTTTGCTACAGAACCTCAGGAATTATACTCTACAATATTCCATTCTACTCTAGCATGTTATATTACATTGCAAGCACCACTAGAACGCACGTTTTTCTTAACCTACACCCGATCAGTACTAAACATTGTTACATTTTATAATGGTTGGTTGTATTGTGTAGTACAAGGAGAGGTATCCGGCTGTGTCCGGAATATTCTCTCTCTTCCATCCCCACCACTCTTTCTCCCCCCCCCTTCCTTTCTTCATATTTCCCACTCCCCTCTCCGTCCGCTTCCATCCCCTATCTTCCCTTCCATTATTCCATATTCCCCCTTCTCACCTCTCACCTCCCAGTTCCCATCTCCCTACCCTCCGTCCTCTCTCCCCCCCATCCTCCTCCTTTTTACTCCTTGCTCTCCCTCTACTTCCCTGTCTGGCCTCCAACCTTGAACAAACATTTCCATTTATATATACCTATACTATAAGAGATAATTTCAGTTTGTCTCTCAGTCTAAAGTTGGAGACCAGACGCTTAGAGCTTGCTTCACCCAACACTGCAGTGGAAATGATCTAAGTAGGGAACGGACAATGACTGCTTGGGGTTGGCCTAAGTTAAATGCTCTAAGAAATATTAGCATTTATTAAGACCCCCATTATTGCGATTTTCTTTGAGTGAAATATTTGGAGTAATACTCATAATGTTTTTAATCATAAAATATATTTTCTGTGAGACCTATACAATTCAATTCAATTTCTTTTTTTATTATGCACCCCATACCCATTCCGTGGGCGGTGGTGGAAAGGGTTACAGAGGCACATAATGGGTTCAGGAACTGAACCCATAATTCGTTTAGTTAAGCAAGTGGCAATCTTTTGAAGCTAGTTACACAATTGTCAATGTTATATATGCATGTACATATATATACAGTCATTTACACAAATACATATACACATTGATAATCTTCACAGGTAATTCAACAAGAGGGTCACAACGGTCACTAATTACAAGTCTTGCTCCACACCCACCCAACTTGGCGGCAGCTTCACAGTAATGTGCATGCATTACCTACAGTAAACAAATTTTGGATACTTCCCTAAGATTCTTGACAGTATATCATCATGAATGAAGTACTTACACATTTCTTGGACACCATTGATTGTGTTATCTCTGAATTCCGCGATTTTTTCACATTCCATTATATAATGAAGCAAAGTCTGCGAATAGTTCTGTTGACAGAGTTTACATTTAATCAAATCTACATAAGCAGTTGTTACAAACTCAGAGGTACTTGTAACTGAGCCTAAGCCTAGCAGTAGTAACAAATAGAAGTCTGCTAACCTTATTGGATGACCCATAGACGTGTGGTACTTCCTGCATAATTGAATGATGATAGATGGAGCAACTGGTGTGAATTTCACTTTGCCTCAAGTTTACGAGATTTTGTTGATGTTCTCAGAATATTACTGCTTGCAGACTGCTCAAAGGCAGTCCAAACTGCTCAAAGGCAGTTCCTTCTTTATGAGCAAACGTCTTGGCTAACTCATCAGTTCAATCATGCATTTGGAGACTAAAATGGAAAAGATTATTTCACCATATATGTGTCTAGCTTCAGAGACAAGCATGTCACAGTTATGCCTTAGGGAGTTGACGGCAGTCAATGATGACAAGGAGTCACTTACATTTAGCGTGTCAACTTTGGATTCATATGCGCGCTTGAGTGCAAGAATTATGGCAACCAATTCAATCTGAAGAGTGGAAGCCCAGTTATTTATACGTGCTCTGCACTCATAGGAGAAGGAACCATCCCTCGCTGTCGCAACAACTGCACTTCCAGCCGCACCATAGAACTGGTGCAAGGATCTATCAGTGTTAATAATTTGGGAAAGTGAGTGCTCTCTGATCAAAGCATCAGTTTGATTTAGGGTATTGTACTTTGCTTCTTGTCGAAGCAAGGCTTGTTCTTTTATCAGCTTCTTGAATGGGAAAGGGGGGACAGTAGTTTGGAATGGTGATCTCTCATGGGGGCAGGAAAGTATCATTGTTGTCTCTCTTAGTAAAGGTGATGAAACTTATACATTCTGAGCACAGTGGCGGTTTTAGTAATCCATTTGGAGGGATGCTGACCTTCAGGAAAGAAGGCTTGGAGAGCTTCAGTGCAGGGATTAGGGTGGGTTAGCCTAAGCGTCTTGATACCAATTAAACGATTAATATCAGTGATACGATCACTTACACATGAAATATTCAGTTCCTTCCTCATGTTTAGTAATTTAGTTGTACGGGGGCATCCGAGGATTATCCTCATGGCTTCGTTTTGCATCTTTACCGGCCCTCCAAGCGTTCTCTCAGGCCCCACAGCAAGCATGGGTGCAGCATACACGATCAGAGATCTAGTATATGAGAGATACATCATTTTGCCAATTCTGAGTGCCATACCTTGGATGGTAACCTGCAACAGCCTTGACAGCATGAAGTCTTTCTCAACACTGAAGACCCAGTCTGGCTTCAACACTGAGGTAGATTGGAACCTCACGACCAAGGAATTTGTATCTGGTTACATAATCGAGTAGAGATACATCATGCAGCTGCATCTTGTGAACAACCGCACCCCGTCTAGGTGGGCGTCGGTTCAAGACCTTTGTTTTCTCAACTGAAATGACTAAACCTAGTCATCATGACTCACCTAGGAGTCACGAGGACTCCTATGCCCTTGGAACAGTACAGATCACTTCCTGTTGGATAGATAGCCTCTTATCCGCCGTAGTAACCATCCTCCAACATTCATTTTAGCAAGTTTGCTCATAATGACAAGTCGGTTAGCAATGTTAAAGACTGACTTAAAATCTAGGAAAGTGGTATATGACCTATCAGTATGCAGGGTGAGGAATGTGGTAATACAGTGAAGTACACTCTTTCGGTGCGTAAAGCCATAAATCTGGGGAAACAACAAGTTACTAATTATGTAAAAGAGACGGTTGAGAACCATCCTCTCAAGACACTTACAGAGACAACTAGTGAGGGAGATTGGGCGAAAAACACTCTGCTGGTTAGGTTTGGGAAAAGGAATAATAAGACTACTGGTCCATGACTTTGGAAGCTCCCCAGTTACATAGCTCATATTATACAATTCAAGCAAAGAATTTTCCCTGGAACTAGCAGACGCATTCGCAGTGTGCCTTAAGTAACTCCATCCTCCCTGGGTGATGTAGCTTTGCCTTTATGTAGAGCAGAGTCTAGTTCGTAATCAGTAAAAAGCATGTCACAGTCATCCTTTTGATGAAGCATGAAGTCAAGGAGCCATGCTCTGTCAGCAAATCTATTACTTAATTAATTCTGTGTGGGTAGAAGAAGATTGTCAAAGCTGGAAGTTGTGGCCCAAGCATCAACAACCTCATTTGCTCTGTGCAGAGTATTAGGGTGCAAGATCTCTGCAGCAATTGTCCCTTTGATCTTGTTGACATCCTTCCATACCCGGCATAGTGGCGTGTGAGAATTGAGACCACTGACACAAGATTCTCAGTCTGGCTGCCTTAGCTCTACCATACGTTTCCTGGCCTCAGCCAGATCAGTTTGATAGAGCCTAAACATTTCAGCAGTGCGGGTCCTTCTATAAGCTAGTCCAATTATTCTGGCAGTGCGCTTTAGTGCATGTAATTTGGAATCATTATAATAGAAATAGTTGTCTATTATACCAGTAATTATATCACAAGACCAGTAAAATTTGGGTTACGTGGCCTGGACGATGAATCAAGTGATTCTTTGAACTGTTCGATAGTACCTGTGAGTTCACTGTTAAAATCTTCAATGGAAGAAGGCTCAGATGAACTGTACCAATCTGACACTTGAGCAACAGAATTTTCACGTTGATCGATGGCCACAGCCAGCCTCTTCCGGTTGAACATTCCGCCGGGAAGGATAGAACTGCCAATGCTTACAGTGGCTAATCAACCCGTTCTCGCAAATTTAATAAGTCAATATTGACTTATTAAATATGTACATAGGTGACATACTTAACATAATAGATACCCTTAAAAAGATTCATAGAAAACACCAACCTTACCTAACCTTGTTAGTATCTTAAGATAAGCATCTTATTGCTTCGTAATTACAATTATTACTTAACTTATACCTATTATAGGTTAGGTAATAATTGTAATTACGAAGCAATAAGATGCTTATCTTAAGATACTAACAAGGTTAGGTAAGGTCGGTGTTTTCTATGAATCTTTTTAAGGGTATCTATTATGTTAAGTATGTCACCTATGCACATATTTAATAAGTCAATATTGACTTATTAAATTTGCGAGAACGGGTTGTGGCTAATATGGGCAGATGATCAGGCGCCATATCTGGCACTATTGACGAGGCACAGACGGTGTTGGAGACGTTGAAACCGAGACATAGATCAAGAATACCTCCGTAGATATGCGTCGGTTCAAGGTCACCCACAATCTGTGCATCATCGTGGCTACCTAATAGTGACACCAGTTGGTTGCCGTTACGATTACTGAACTGCGAATAACCAATATTCCTATGCCTAGCGTTATAATCACCTATAATAATGGTAGGCTCAGTCTGAATACAGACAGGAAGGTCAGTATAATTAAACTTATCACTAGGAACATACCGGTTAAAGATATGGAGGGCAGAGTTCTGAATCTCCCAGATACAGAACTGTATCTGGGAGATACAGAACAACTGTATCTCCCAGACTTGGCTGGGAGATACAGTTTTTCAATGGTTGTTAATAATAAATTTTCTGAGAGAAGGGAGAAAGGAGTTCAGCACAGGGAGAGTTGGGGGAAGCAGGGCAAAATGAATGGGGACTAAGGAATGTTAAAAGGGAGATGGGGTAAGAGTGAAGAACATCTAGAAGAGTGAGGAAGAGACCAGTGTGCCGCTAGGTATCCCTTCAATATATAAATGGAAATGTCTGTCGCTTCTGGGTTGGAGGAGAGAGTGGGGGAGCTTAGGAAGCGGGGGGGGGGGTGTGAGGGGGTGAGAGAGGGGTGAAAATCGCAGAGATCAGAGGGAAGAGGGATAGAGAGGGGGAGAGGAGAATGGGAAAAAGGATAAAGGGCATTTAATCTCCTTCTTTGGATAGACAGACAAGGCAGACAGACGTTCTCTCTTTTAAATACAGATATATTCATCAATTGTTAATTTCCACGTTGCACTTAATTGAAGCTAAATATGAGTAAGCCGCACCCAGCCGCTGCTCTGCCGTCATGACTTACTGTGTGCCACTGCATGATGCTCTCAGTGCTCAAATAATTCCCAGCATCACATCGTAAACCATAAGCAAATTATAGTAACATGATATCTTGAGTCAACCATATGAGCAGGAAGAGGAACGAGGCACTGTCCTCGATCATCCCAGATGCGCGCCTTACCTGTCGTGGCTTAGGGGTAAGGCGCTTCTGGGGTCACCCAGGGCGCTAGTTTGATCCCATCCTCCTCTGATGGGATCTCTTTCCATGATGGAGTCAGATGGGATGGAATTTTTTATCTCCTCTTACAATGCAAGGCAATATCTTGTGTTGCACAACTCTTCATCATTCTCCTTGATTTAAAATTTCAAGTATAAGATGACAGATGTGGTAATCGACGAGGCCCAGATCTTGCTCCCTACCCTTTTCACATTTATACGTCCCCTATCTTTTCCTCTCTCCCTCAATGTCCTCTCTTTAACTCTGTCATCTCTCACACGTTTCTTCCTATATCCCGGTCGGGGAGCCGGTCGGCCGAGCGGACAGCACGCTGGACTTCTGATCCTGTGGTCCTGGGTTCGATCCCAGGCGCCGGCGAGAAACAATGGGCAGAGTTTCTTTCTCCCTATGCCCCTGTTACCTAGCAGTAAAATAGGTACCTGTTTGTTAGTCAGCTGTCACGGGCTGCTTCCTGGGGGTGGAGGCCTGGTCGAGGACCGGGCCGCGGGGACACTAAAAAGCCCCGAAATCATCTCAAGATAACCTCAAGAAGATATCCCTCTTCTCCCCCCCCTGTATACTCTTCTTTTCCACCATCTCACCGACTCTCCTCCTCATTTTCCCTCTCCTTGCTTCTTCCAGCCTCTCTACTTTTCTCATGGCATCTCGCCTTCCCTCTGCTCTCAACATCTGCCCTTTAGGAAAGTAACACATATATATATATATATATATATATATATATATATATATATATATATATATATATATATATATATATATATATATATATATATATGTATAAATATATATATATATATATATATATATATATATATATATATATATATATATATATATATATATATATATATATATATTGGTAGCAGTCTTTCCTGTAGACATATATTATTAAATATCACCATACTGTCCCCCGAGCTCAAAGCGGCAGCTAAGAGCCTTCGTGAGAACAAGGAGATAGTCGTCAGGAGAGGTGACAAGTCGCCAATATACGTCATTATGAAAAAAGGCGAATATCTGGCGAAAATGAACCTCATTCTCTCTGACCAAACTAAATTCCAAAGGGTAACGAAGGACACTACAGCCGAATTGAAAGCAAAGGTCAACAAATTGATTGAAACTGTGAACGCCAAGAAATCCGGACTCCACCTGCCAAAGATCATTGGGGAGTATAAACCTGGATACGCGTATGGAAATGTCAAGACACACAAGCCTGGAAACCCACTTCGGCCAATCAGTAGCCAGATACCCACACCCACGTACAGACTGGCGAAGCGACTCAACGGCCTGCTGACTCCTTATGTCCCTTGCACCTTCAGCCTGAAGTCTACAAAGGAATTTGTTGACTTACTGCAGGGAACACGGGCCACAGGGATAAGAGCCTCGTTGGACGTAGAATCACTGTTCTCCAACGTACCTGTGGACGAGACAATCGGGATGATAGCCGACAGAGTGTATCGTGATCCAGCCTGTACTCCTCTTGACATACCAGAAAACATTCTAAGGAAACTACTCCAAGCTTGTACTAAAGAGGCACCCTTCTTGAGCCCGGATGGCACATGTATAAGCAAGTAGCTGGGGGTCGCCATGGGTTCTTCCCTAGGTGTCCTGTTTGCGAACTTCTACATGGGTACCATCGAAAAAAAGGTCTTAGTCAACCTGAACTTGAAACCGGCCATATACTGCAGATATGTTGACGACATTTTTACACAGGTACCTAATGTCAGACATCTGCAGGAGCTAAAGGAGGCATTTGAGCGGAATTCTGTGTTGCGTTTCACTTACGAGATGGAGAAGGATGGGAAGCTGCCCTTTCTAGATATAACAGTCACGGAAAGGAGCGCAGGTTTCCACACTGCAGTCTACACTAAGGAAACAAACATAGGAATGTGCCTCAATGCCAACAGTGACTGCCCAGACAGGTACAAGAGGAGTGTCGTTAACGCTTATGTCGACCGTGCTCTCAGCCACAGCTCAGGATGGAAGCAAGTCGATGAAGAGTAAGAAGACCTGTCTTACCTGTAGGATAAGGCAGGTCCTAGTCAACAACAGCTTCTCCAATGGTTTCGTTGAAGACATCATAAGAAGGAAGGTGAAATGCCATGCAACCTCTGAAGAGACAACTAACACAACACCTGTACCCCCTATTAGACTATTTTACAGGAACTTCTTTTCCACAGCTCATAAAACGAAGGAAAGGGTCCTGAAAGATATTGTTAATAGAAATGTTATCCCTACAGACAAAAATCAGAAGATACAATTGACGATCTACTATAAAACCAAGAAAACGGCCAACCAACTCATGAGAAACTCTCCAGACACAAAGCAGAACGCTTTAAAAGACACCAATGCCGTCTATGCCTTCAAATGCCCACTTGGGGACTGTAAGCCTCAAAGAATTCAGTATATAGGCAAGACAACAACATCTCTTTCCAGGCGATTAACGATGCATAAGCAACAGTGCTCCATTAAGGAACATATAATCTCTTCCCACAACCAGACCATCACCAGAGAAGTCTTAACAAAAAACACGAAAATCATCGATAGATACAGTGATAGCAGGCGGCTTGATATCTGCGAGGCACTACACATTAAGAAGTCGACACCAGCAATCGACAGCTAATTAATGCACAACTATATTCTACCCACTTCAAGACTCCGCACCAATATAGAAGCATTAAGAAATAGGGCCAATAGGCCCTTTGCAGTTACTTCCATTCTTCCCTTTAACTTACAAAATATTATACCCATTGTTTCGTGTTCTGTCTTGTGTTGAAAGTTTGTTTTCACCTCATCCAAAACTGTTTTAACATATCACCTCACCCAAATGCAGGTATTAAAAATCGAAGATGTTTAAGCTCTATGACCAGGGGATGGAAAGGCAGGGGATACTGGCGGTAAAAGTGGAGGGAGGATTTGGGTGATATGGTGGGCACTGTGCAGGGGCAAGGAAGGATATGTGCTGGGGATGGGTGGGAGCCTTAGGGGGTGGTGAGTTGGGGTGTTGCAGTCCCCTCTGGAGTTCCTGAATTGCTGGATTGGGGTTCCCCACTCCTCTCTGGGATTGCTGGATTGGAGGCTGAGGTTCCCTGGTTCCCTTCTCTCTTCCTGCGCCTTTTCCTTGCATCTGCTGCCCCTATTATCTCGTCTCTGGTCATGTCCCTCTAAAGGTATACATCTCTTTAATTCCTTGCATTTTTCAGTTTGCTCTGCTTTACCAGGATGTCCTCTTTGATGGCCTCGTTCCTGAATACTACCTTGATCAATCTCTTTTTGTCTTTGTTGTATTATGATGTTGATGTTGGTCGTTTATCTGTCCTTCCTTATGGACAGCCAACCCAAAATTCCGTAGAGTGCTTACACTTTAGTCAGGAGATCACCCTGTGCACTCCTGGCACTTGGATAGGCGCTAAACGTCACACGTTTAGGGGACGCGGCTCCAACAGTAGCCTTGT